CATCTTTGATGTTTTCATTTAATCCTTGAAATAATGCATCTGCTAGTGCCTCCTTGTTCCACCTGCTTTGAGCTGCTATGTCATGAAAATTGATAATACAGTGCCTTGCGAAAGTATTCGGCCCCCTTGAACTTTTCATCCTTTTGCCACATTTCAGGCTTCAAACATAAATATATAAAATTTTAATTTTTTGTGAAGATTCAACAACAAGTGGAACACAATTGTGAAGTGGAATGAAATTTATTGGATGTGTCAAACTTTTTAACAAATAAAAAACTGAAAAGTGGGGCGTGCAATATTATTTGGCTCCCTTGCATAAATACTTTGTAGTGCCGCCTTTTGCTGCAATTACAGCTGCAAGTCACTTAGGGTATGTCTCTATCAGTTTGCACATCGAGAGACTGAAATTCTTGCCCATTCTTCCTTGCAAAACAACTCGAGCTCAGTGAGGATGGATGGAGAGCGTTTGTGAACAGCAGTCTTCAGCTCTTTCCACAGATTGGACTTTGACTTGGCCATTCCAACACCTGGATACGTTTTTTTGTGAACCATTCCATTGTAGATTTGGCTTTATATTTTGGATCATTGTCTTGATGGAAGATAAATCTCCGTCCCAGTCTCAGGTCTCTTGCAGACTCAAACAGGTTTTTTTCCAGAATGGTCCTGTATTTGGCCCCATCCATCTTCCCATCAATTCTGACCATCTTCCCTGTCCCTGCTGACGAAAAGCAGGCCCAAACCATGATGCTGCCACCACCATGTTTGACAGTGGGGATGGTGTGTTCAGGGTGAAGAGCTGTGTTGCTTTTACACCAAACATATCGTTTTTCATTGTGGCTAAACAGTTCGATTTTGGTTTCATCTGACCAGAACGCCTTCATCACATGTTTGGTGTGTCTCCCAGGTGCTTGTGGCAAACTTTAAACAACACTTTTTATGGATATCTTTGAGAAATGGCTTTCTTCTTGCCACTCTTCCATAAAGGCCAGATGTATGCAGTGTTCAACTGAGTGTTTTCCTATGGACAGACTCTGCCACCTCAGCTGTAGATCTCTGCAGTTCATCCAGAGTGATCATGGGCCTCTTGGCTGCATCTCTGATCAGTCTTCTCCTTGTTCGAGATGAAAGTTTGGAGGGACGGCCAGGTCTTGGTAGATTTGCAGTGGTCTGACACTCCTTCCATTTCAATATGATTGCTTGCACAGTGCTCCTTGGGATGTTTAAAGCTTGGGAAATCTTTTTGTATCCAAATCCGGCTTTAAACTTCTCCACAACAGTATCTCAGACCTGTCTGGTGTGTTCCTTGGTCTTCATGATGCTCTCTGTGCTTTGAACAGAACCCTGAGACTATCACAGAGCAGGTGCATTTATACAGAGACTTGATTACACACAGGTGGATTCTATTTATCATCATCAGTCATTTGGGACAACATTGGATCATTCATAGATCCTCATTGAACTTCTGGAGTGAGTTTGCTGCACTGAAAGTAAAGGGGCCGAATAATATTGCATGCCCCACTTTTCAGTTTTTTATTTGTTAAAAAAGTTTGACACAGCCAATAAATCAGAATCAGAATAAACTTTATTGGAATTACACCAAGGTACAACGCGAAAATGTACGTACAGTCGTCCAAAAGATGGGCGGAGTGCACGAAGCTGCAACTGTAGAAAGCGCGGCCATTTTATCCTTATCAGATAATAATCTTAGATAGGAAAAGGGGTAGAAACATGAGGGAAGATAGTGGTATTACAAAAAAAGATCTTTCACATCTTGTCTATCAGGACAAATTTCATTCCACTTCACGATTGTGTCCCACTTGTTGTTGATTCTTCACAAAAAAATAAAATTTTATATCTTTATGTTTGAAGCCTGAAATGTGGCAAAAGGTTGAAAAGTTCAAGGGGTCCGAAAACTTTCGCAAGGCACTGTTTGTTCTGTTACCCGTTTACTTCCTTGTTTTACAGAAAACAACTTACAAGCTGCCTCTCTCTCAAGTAGGATAGGGTCAAAGGCTCTACAGAGTTATTTATCAAAGTCATTAAAGGAACAACAGTACCTTGGGTTCCTTTGCCATTCTGAAGACCCCATGATTTGGCTTTACCCGAGAGAAGAGAGATTACATAAGCCATCTTGGATCGCTCAGACGGTAAGAAGGATGGTTGCAGCTGAAAATGAATGTCACACTGGGTTAAAAATGAACGATACTGATCAGGTTCCTGGCAGGTGGGATTCTTGGCTGGGAGAAACTTGATGTACTGTCGCCTGGGTCGTAGTAAAACTAATAGATGCCTGTGGTGGAGTCTACTGGGACAAGTTATGAATCAAGTGACTAATTTCCTGCATGTCTTTCTTTAATTTAACTATGGTTCCCTCCACACCAGAACGCCATTCCTGTGTCTGTGTCGAATCAATTTTGTCCAGATTATTCTGACAAGAACCAGATTTAGGGATTCGAACCAGATCACAGACAACAGGAAGGTTTAAAATATTTATTGATGAACTGCTTCTGGTAGAGGTCTGAGTCCTTGGGCAAGCACAATCTGAAGAGACAGGAAGGTTAGTGAATTGGAGTTCAATGGCTTTGGTTTGACAGTTCAGTTTATAAACACCAACTTTCATAAGCAGGTAAGGAAGGATTTCCTTAGAGGAACTGGTTTCTGTGATGTCACCGTTGGAGAAGGTGAGCTGGTTTTGAGGCAGAGCTGAGCGTGAAGCAGTTAGGAGGGAGATCCATAACACAGGTCCAGGGAGACAGGTGAGGGTCATGCACAGGTGATCAGAAATCCCAAACTAGACTTGAATCATGATCTGGTAGGCGTGGTCATTGTAGAGAAGGCAAAGGTCATTACCATGAGCAGAGTAGATAATCCAAAGCAAGCAGGGGAAGAGCAAGATGGGTAATCCGTAAGACAGGCATGAAGTCTGAACCAGGAAGACAAATGAAACTGTGGCATGGACGCTGAACATTTACTCACTGTGAGGCTTTCAATAATCTGGCACTGAGTAGTGTGGCTGTGGGGTTTAAATACAGGTGACAACAGGTGAGCTGCATGAGGGCTGATTGTGGTGACTCAGCTGAGTGGGCATGGTTACATGAGCAGACTGAGGTGCAGGTTGACAGGAGCTGAGATAAAACAAACCAACATGAACAGGAACTATGACAGGCAGAGCAGAAAATGTGACAGCTGGTGTTGTACCAAAAATCGAATGGCTGCCAAATGGCGGCTGCGGTAGCACGCACGGGAAGACTCACTGTTGCAGTTCTTCGAAATGTAACAAGATTAACACAAAAAATTTGTTTGCTCGACATTATAGCAAAGGTGTGTCTCAGTTTAATTTTTCCTCAATAAATTCACTTTAATGGTGAAAACAACTTCATTTTGCCTGAAATTAAGCTGCCCCCATTCCAGCAGAGGAGCGGGAATGAAGGTCGTGGCTCTACAGCATCCCCCCACCCACACCTCGCTGCTTTCCATGGCCGCGGATCACGCACCTTGTTGCCCCCTTCCTCTGTCAGCGCGTGATCTGCAATGAATGGATAGATGGATGGATGGATGGATGGATGGATGGACGGACAGAGGGAGGGATGTTTTGATTGATAGGTGGACGGGTGGCACACTGCCGCAGAGTCTTCCTTCCCGCTCCAGTGGGGAAGGAAGGCTGTAGAGCTCGTAGCTGGAGCTGTGATGGGTGGATGGATTAATGGATAAATGGATGGATAAATGGATGGATGGTGCACCACTGTGGAATGTTTGTGTGTGTGGGGGGAGGGTAACGGTAGTTGTCAAAAGCCTAGAGGGCCCTCTCACACCTCCAGCAGCTGCAAACGGTAGTGTTTAATCTGGCTCATGTCAGAATGAATGAAAGTGTCAGATGTCAGTCAAAAATTGTTATGATTATGGAAAAAAAAGTATATGTCGCTTCAGCGTATAAATTGCAGGACTGACAAATTCATGCAAAAAAATTGTGACTTATACGCCGGAAAATATGGTGTTACTAATTAATTTTAGCCAACACAAATTTGGCTATATCACAGTCCACTTCACTGATTTTGAGTTAAGACTTTTCATTGTAGCTGAGTCAGTCACAACACACTCTGTGACATCTTACAATATTGCACAATACTGTGCATAATGTTATTGTCCAGGTTTGACTAAAATGGCTACAATGTTGTCAATTTTTAACATAAAATTAGTCTAAAACTCAGGCATGGAAAGCCAGCGGATGATATGCATGTTTTTCAAGGATGTTCATGCTTTTAACATGTATCTTGGTTCTTAGCTGACTTTTTTTTATAAATATCCAAGATGTCTTTAAAGATTTTATTCTTGGAAGTTGTACTACATGAATGTACTAAGTGCTAAACGGTGATGCAGCACACTTTTTTTACAATTTTATCTACAAATTTGCTGATCTTTTAGAAATCATATTGTATTTAGTTTCACTTATGAATGCTTTTACAATTACTCTTTACAAAGAGAATAGTTCTTGACTGCTGTCAGGTTGAATAAAGTTATTTGTCTAACAATGGGAATTTGCTTCCCGTCATCAATCACAGGCTGGAACAACCTGTTTGTTAAGCTCTGACGAACAGAGCGCTGCTATAACCAAAGAAACAACCCTTTTTGGCTTTTGTTCCTTTAATACTAGTAGTGTCTGCTTGCTTTTAGTCATGGTTTATCATTAGTTTCAGAAGAAAAATCCTTCTCATTCAGAGTGATGTTATTTCTGAACAGTGACTTCATTGTGACACAGCTCACCTGCTTTTCTGTTAAACATTACACAACACATTTAAATAAACAAAGTTATGATTTGTTTTTATTCTAAGGATGTCTTCATGGGGTGAATATTGGTGTGGATATTTTCAATTAAGCTGTAAACTATGATTACATTTTTTCAGCTCTAACTTTACACTCTGTGTTGAATGTATGAGAATGTTTTAACAAAAAAAACTAATAAAAACTAAGATAAAAATGAATGTGTGTGTTTTTTCTGTCAGGATACCAGAGTCTGTGTGTCGGAGGCTGATCTTCTTTATGGCCAACATATAGTTATTAAAACGCCTCTTCAAGGAAATGGAAGCTACACAATTACCTCGTGCAATATTGAGAACACGCAACGCTGGAACAAGACCCTGCAGCAACATGTCGACAACCTGAGTAAGGCTGGAATCTAAACTCATGTTAATTGAAAACAAAAAAAAGAAAGACAACACCTTGCATTCTGGTCAAACTGAGCAGGTTGTAATTTAGCAGTTGGTAGGGAAAGTTATGTGCACAAGTGCATCACTCTGGATATACTTTAAAATTTAAAGGAACATTTTGCGTGCAAACAATATGCTGGCTTTTTTTAACCTCAGGGCAAGATCATGTGTAGCACAATTTAAAATGTGTTACAGACACAATTGAATACATTAGAACAATTTACATTCAAAACAAACAAAACATGCATTACAGGAATTACAACAAAAGATGGGCATTACATAAAAACACAATAATAAAATACAAATGTAAACAATTATAACTAAGAGCTAATAAAGTAAACTGATAAACAGTAAAAATACTTTTCTCCTTCATGTTGAAGTTCAGGAAACAGTAAAGTCAGTATCTTGTTTAACTGCAACTGCTGGAGATTAGTGGCATTTCAAATTTACAAAGTAAGTGTGTGAACTTAGTCAGATTTTCAGCTGCAGATTCACAGACTTTTTGTGTCCAAGTGATCTTTGAGCTGTACGACTGTATCATGTGATCATTTTTGAAAATCAGAACTTTGCACGCACAGCATGCAAAACTACTATCTGAGACGTGCACATTTTGTTTTGTTCAGCTCCACCTACTTTGTAGCTTTGCCTCTGTCCCTGTGTTTAGGATTTAATCTACTGGAGTACACTTTAGAAAAAAAAAAGATTTAGACCAGTTTTGAAATAAATACTATTTATCTTTTGTGTTGTTAGACTTGAACATTTAGGGCTGTTGTCCCGGAAAGTTTCTGAATAGCCACAGATCGTAAGAAAGAAAAAATGTAAAACTTCTATTGAATTTAAATCAAGCATTGAGCTCCTAAAAGATTTGATTGGTTTGCCAACAAACACAAGTAAGACAGGTTGTGTTTTCTCTGCGAGCAGCTTCTGCTTCAGTATAACTGCAGAGTCTGTTGCACGTATGATTTTACCCACTGATTAGAATGCTCCAGCATCAACGTGTGGCATGGAGGCTGCACAGCTGCAGAAAGAAAAGCTTTGCAGAGAAGTCTGTTTGAGTCAGCCTCCCCACCATCACATGCATCTACACCTCCAGATGCAGGAAGAGGGCCACCTGCATCATGAAGGACCCCACTCACCCAGCACACACACTTTTTGCCCCACACCCCTCAGGAAGGAGGTTAAGGAGCATTAAGTGTAGAACCACTAGACTGAGGAACAGCTTCTACCCTGAGGCTGTTACACTCAGGAATATCTAAGTAGGATATTCACTGTGAAAAAAAAATCACATCATGTTGCTGCTGATCTGTTTCCTGTTGATGTGTTCACTCATACTCATCTGCTCACACAGACTCGTGTTCGTGCTGCTGTTCGGCATATTGTTTTTATGCTATTAGTGCTTATTGTATTTGTAGTTAATGTTTTTCTTAGGTCATATCTTAGATCTTATAATTGTTTTTCTTTTACATTTTATTGTTGGATGTAACTGGGACCCTGCGTACAAAATTTTGTTCCACCACATGTACCAAATAGGGTGCGAACAACAAAAAAATAAACCCTAACTCTTGCTAACTCTAACTCTAAGAGTTGGAGAAAAAAAATAAAATGAGATCTGTTCTGGGAACAGCAGCAGGTTACGAGTTTGACTGAGGCACCACACCTGTCAGACAATAACCGACATAATGAGAGCCCGTGGACACAACCTCATGTGAAGCATTTGTTTTGCTTATTTATTCAAACGTGACCAAAATCCACAGAACTTGTGCAAAGAGATTGAAAACTCCTGCGGACATTTCTACGTCTTGGAACCTTTCTCCTGAATACCTTAGGACAGTTTTTAAGGCGTGGGAGAGTCACCCCACCCCCAGCAAATAATCCACTGTGCCCCCCCCCCCCCCCCCCACTATTATTTCTGTTACAATTGTTGTTGTTGTCGGTTAATGTCTCTTTCATTAAAAAAAGGTTGTACACATTTTTATTCTTTGTTTTTTTACACATTTTAATCATCTGTGCTTTTTCAAAACATATTTAAAATGTTTCCTTTTTAACATTTCACATCACCTCATTCCCTTTACTTTTTTCTTTTACTTTTTTTGGTTTATTTTTTCGTCACGCTGCTGAAGAACTTGGGCGCCACCCTACAGAATTGCACCCCACACTTTGAAAAGCCCTGCCCTTAGGCGATATGGGCAGGATAATGAGATTTTGGTCGAACAATTTTAGTCCTGATTCAAAAGAATTAACAATTTTCTGCTCATCTCAGGTTTTGAGGAAGTTGGTGACAGAGCATAGAGACTAAATGTGGCTTCTCCTTGTTTCGTTCCAGTCCTGGATACACTGAGTACTGATAAACACTTTTGTGATGACCTCAGGGGGTTTATATGATTCATACTCACGCTCAATTTAATTCCAAGACTATTCAGTGCCTTTCACATTCATTACTAGATTTAAAAATCAATTCTATTACAGATATGGAACCAGAGCAGTGATTTAAAGACTGATGTGCCGGTAATGTGTTTCTTTGTCCTGGTTTTGGCAAAATGTTTGGATGAAGTGCACCTGACGGAGTTTTTATGACACCTCTGAAAACACCAATAAAATAACCTGATGTACTAAAATTACAAGCGTGCACCAGTTTTTCTGTGTCTTGGTTAGACAGAAATCTTTTTGTCATGCCAACATTTTTAGTATGAAAGTTGGATGATTTAGTGACAGACTATATATAACATGCAAAATTTAGGTACATCTTCATGACTGCGCTCAGCTTTTTGGCATACTCTTTAGTTTTTGGCACCATTCAGTCTAATTGAATGCTGATCTAATCTTGCATTTTGGGAACAAAAAAATGGACTTTTGTTTTTTATGCATTGAGCAAGAGGACATTTTGATATTATAGACACACCTACTCAGTGACTGGAAACGGATTGCAATTATGTGGTGACATTGGAATGTTAAACTGTGTCATCAGCCTATTTTAGCACCTGAACTTCACTGACAAAGAATCTTAAAGGGATAGTCCAACCAATCTTGAAAACAAGTGTTTTGCTTTTTTTTTGCTTTATGTTATATTTGCCAAAATGTAATTCCAGTCGACAAAGTAAGATCTAAACCAATTTAGAACGACTACCCAAAAAGCCCCACCTCATTTTCTAGTTTGTCAATCAGTGGTCTGTGATCAAATGTGTAAAATTATGCACTCCTATGAATAAATAAATAAACCTTGGATTTTTGTAGTTTATTTTCATGTGGTAATAGTGAGTGTGGGTTAGAATGTGCGGTGCAAATATGGTCTTGATAAATAATACTGAACTGTCTTCACTTGTAAATAAAAATTTCTGACATAATATTCTCCGACAAATGCACAAAGGATTAATTCAACTAGGTGAATGCTGTATCTAATTAATAAATGGAAATAATGCCGATTTGTGTATAAGTATGTGAATGAAACTTTTCTTCTGTAGCAGATAAGACATGATAAGACTTAATATTAAATAATGGAAATAATTTAGCAGTTACTGGCTACTTTCATTCACAGCATGGTCTCTCTTGCAAATAAATTCTCAATCTCAATGGTTTTTTAAATCTGGTCAAATAAAGGACACGAACTATGCTGAGAACCAACATATTACTAACAAAGATTAGATATAATACAACCCCTGCACATGTAGAAAACAGTAGTGATTGCATTTAAAGGAACTTAAATGTAAGATGGACGTTTAGTCTGTGGCCCCACTTTCAGGTGCCAAAACTATGCCCCCAAACCTTCCAGTGGAGTTGTTGTTCATCCTAAAGGCCTGGACCACAATTTTTTTTAATCTTTCATTGGAGGTGCTCAGACAACGCAACCTTTAACATGAGTTACAGTGAGTCCATTTTGTATTTCTTCAAGCTATCTGTATGTGGCAGACAGTCAAACATTCAAACCAGTTTGCATTCTTTCCCAATAGCTATGAGTTTTAAGAGTGACAGCGAGCAACAATGGCCACACCTGTTAAGACTTGTTCCAAATAACTCTTCTTGCTTTATCTGATTGGCTGAAGTTTACTTTTATTTTTGATTAACATGTGGTTCAACAATCAACTACTTCTTCTCCCACAGTTTATCCAGTTTGTATTCAATTTCGACAAATAGGTCTGGTTATTATTACAGTTATTTTATATAATTTATGTTTTTTTATGAAGACATTCAACACACACACAAAAGAAGATCATTATATCCGTAAAATATTTATTTATATTGAGAAATTTAAAAATAAAAACAGTAAACTGAAACATTGCATTAAGGTTCACGTTCACATTGATGACTGCCCTAGATTCTAATCTGTAGTGCAAAAGGTGTAACATCAGCTGTAAATATTACAATTGGACTTTAATTGACACAACTGGAGACATGTTATTAACATACCAGCTTTTGTTTGGAATATTTGCATAACTCTTGATAATAATTGCTGGTCCCACCTTTGCCTTTAGCATGAATTGGAGGCAATGTGTTCAACATAATGGCACTTCTTCCAGCTATCTTACTGTCAACAATGGTGTATCACAAGGCTCAGTCTTAGGACCCACCCTTTTCACAATCTACATAAGTAATGTAGGTCAGATGATTCCTAATGCATCCTTACATTTCTGTGCCGATGACGCAGTTGTTCATTGTTGAGCTAAAACAGTTGCTAAGCTTTTTCAGCTTTTACAGTCTGTATTAATCATCATTCAGTCAGATTTGTTCCATTCTAAACTGGTGCAAAATGCTGATAAAACCAAAGGGATGTCTTCAAACAGGAAGTCAGTACCAGCAGTCCTTCCTTCTATTTTATCTTTGAGTGGTGTCCTCATTGAGTTTGTCAATTTTTATGAATACATGGGTATCTTGGTTGATTCACATCTCTCATAAGCCTCATATCGAAAACTTGGTAAATGTTGATGTTGGATGCTGTCTATCATGGTGCATTAAGATTCATAA